GCCACTGCCTCGCCCCGCCACGCCCGCGCCACTGCCTGCCGGCCATGCCTCGGCCCCGCCACTGCCTCGGCCACCGCCACTGCCTCGGCCACCGCCACTGCCTCGGCCACCGCCACTGCCTCGGCCGCCGCCACTGCCTCGGCCACCGCCACTGCCTCGGCCACCGCCACTGCCTCGGCCACCGCCACTGCCTCGGCCACCGCCACTGCCTCGGCCACCGCCACTGCCTCGGCCACCGCCACTGCCTCGGCCACCGCCACTGCCTCGCCCCCCACTGCCGCCACGCCTGCCTCGGCCACCGCCACTGCCTCGGCCACCGCCACTGCCTCGGCCACCGCCACTGCCTCGGCCACCGCCACTGCCTCGGCCACCGCCACTGCCTCGGCCACCGCCACTGCCTGCCACCGGCCACCGCCACTGCCTCGGCCACCGCCACTGCCTTGGCCACCGCCACTGTCTCGGCCTTGCCGCCACTGCTGGCCCCCCGTCTCGGCCTCGTTTACGGCCGCGGACGTTATTCCGTCCGTTCATTTCCCTTTTCCTGCAGGGAAATGCGTGCTTTACTGCCCTGCCTGCCCTGGCGTAATAGTGGCCGAGGTGTCCCCTGTCCCACGGCACGGCACGGCGCAGCCCGGGGCGTTGCGCGTTGCGTTTACGACGGGGTATCGTTGCGGTTGTCGGGTTGTCCACAGACCGCGGTTGTCCGCAGCACAAGGCCGTCCTGCCCACACCTGGCCCACCGCCGCATCCCAACCCGCCAGCCAGCCAGCCAGCCAGCCAGCCAGCGTAAAACAGTCGCCCCCCATTTTCGGACCCTCTCAAACGTCTTTACCCCAAACGGTCGCAACACACACTCCCACAAACACGCACAGTGCAGATTTCCAGATAGACCGCTCGTCTCGTCTCTCGTTTCTCGTCGCCCCGCTGCTCTGATTTCCTTCCTAATGACCCTCATGGCCAGGCTGCCGAGCTCAGCCCGCGGTGTCGATACGTCGACAATGAGACTGTTGCGAGATGGCCGGATAAGTCGCCGCCACCCTCGAGGCGGCCTCCACGGCGTCCTCCACGGCGTCCTCCACTCCGGCCGCGACGACGGTAGCGGCACTCGGCCGATTAGGGCGACTTGCCTAATGGAGGTGATCAGTTCCCACAGTGACCCCCGCCGGTGCTAAAAGGTCCGGCACGCCGGGCGAGTCGAGGCGAGGCGATGGATATCTCCCTATCGCTTTTACCTGTTGTCGTGTTCCCCGGCGTCCCCCGGCGTCCCCCGGACAAGCCGCGGCCGCGGGCACGCCTCCGCACGACTGCCGCGGTGCGACTCAGCGCAACTCGCACGCCGTACGACCGCGACCGACACACCGGGCGAAATTAAAATTAAAATGAAAACGAAGGCCGAAGGGCAAACGCGGCGCCCCAAGTTTGAACTCGGGATCGGCTCGCGCCACTTTGTGTACTTTGTGGCGCGGTGCCCGCCGGTCCCGCCGGTACAAATGAGCGCGTTTAATAGGCCACTTCCGTTTCCGCGACGTCGTCCGTCGTCGTCCGTCGTCGCCTGGAGTGGTGCCGCGGAGGGCCTCGCCTTCCAGGGGGAATGATACCTTGTGCCGCCCCTGCCGCCCTGCAGCCACGCCCATTCCCACGCGGGGCGGGGACGTCCCCCGGCCCCCCGGCCCCCGGGCCTCGCGGGGAGCAGAGACGGACCTGATTCCGGGCACAGAAAGGCCTGAAAGTTAAACAAACTTCAGCCAAGCGGCGTTTAGAAATAATGCACAGTCGAACGGAAAGCTTGTTACATGTTCAAGAGAACAATGCCGAAAAGTGGATTGTTGATTTGGCCGGGATTCGAAGCCGAATTAGCGGGGCGGGCGGAACGGCGTCGTAACTAACTGAGCCACCGAGACAGACGTAGCGCCGCGCCACCCTCCGACCGCCCGGCCTGGCCGGCCTGGCCCCTGACGCGTAATTGGTCGAGCGGGAAGTATTAATCGCTGCCTGAATTCCCTCTCATAACGGGCCGGATCAGGACGAGGAGCGAGAGAGAGAGAAAGACAAGGAGGGGGAGAGAGGGGGAAGGCCCAGACGGATGGAAGTCGCCTCCAACTACTTGAACAGTATTTTAAAACATATTTAAGGTTTCGTGGGAATGGCCCGCGCGCACACACACGCGTGCACTCGTTTGAAAACGTTTGCGGTGTGGGAAACTGTTTGCTACTTTGTGCGACTTTGTCGTGCCCGGCTCGTCGGCTCTCTTCGATGCGCGGCGTGGCTGCGTCGCTTCGGGGCGTCCACTCCACTTGTGCCGGGCGGGGCCGCCGGCCGCGCCGGCCGCGCCGTCCCCCCGCGGCGCTCGAGGACCCAGAGCATCGCGACGTCCCCCGTGCTGCAGTACGTACTACAGTAGCGTGCTGAGAACAAACTCGGCCGCGGTCGGCCAGTGTTGCCAATCCTCCCCGGAGGCGCACTCGATCGGCTCCGGCGGCTCCGGCAGTTCCAGCGAATCACCCTCGCCACCTCGCCCCGGACATCGATATTCAAAACGCGGACCCATGCCGCGCACTTAATGTTTATTTACTTTTTATTGTTCATAACCATTGCCATATTTGTGCTTATGTAAGATACATAAATTAGGGACAATATTTCCATTTTGTACTTAAGTGTTTATAAAATTGTTGCTAAATTTATGTGAAAACATTACATAACATTCACCTGCACAAACACGTCAATTCTTATGTGCAAAAAGTCCTTAAACATTTATTGTGTCCCTAAGAGCATTTTTTCCGCTCTAAGAAAATTCCTTTGGCCTAAGAGCTTTTCTTCTGCCCTCAGGGCATCTTCAAGGCATTTCCTCTGAAATTAATCGATCTAAGCCTCAAGCTCCAAACTACTGCTTGAAAATCTTTGTTTTCATTACGGAAACACGTTACGATGTGTTTCAAACCCGTTGGAACAGAAACGACGCAGCGTTTGCGATTAAGCTGCGACTTCTACGGTGCCACTCGACGCTCCACCGGGCTATGCAATAATACAACCCAACCCGCCGCCAGTCCGCACACACGCGCTGTTCCCATGAAGTTGACGGCCAGAAAAAATAACATATACGGATAGGAAATAGCGCGCTACGCTCCCAACAAGGTATTCCAAGTGATCTGTTTTTTGGCGAGGGGTGGCTAGAGTGGCGGCACTGCAGGCCGCGGCCTAGCGGCGGGGGGCCGTGTCGACGTTCGTCGTGGACAGCGCGGGCCGCGTGCCGGCAGCCAGAGCGACGGAGCCAAAGCAAAACATCTGCTGCGGGGCCGACATCTCACCCTCTTGACCACAAGTGTAAAAAAAGTTAAAATAAAACGAAAAGCGAAAAGTGCTGCATGTCCTCGACGCGCAAAAAGAATGGATACGACCGGGAATCGTGCACTACATGTCCCGCAGATGGTCAGTCGTTAAAATGACGTCAAAATGAATTTTAGCTCCCGTGCGGTTGGGCCATTTCGACACATTTGATCGATTTCTTCGCATCGTTCTTATGAGGAGTTTTGGTGAACTGGGAAATAATGTCTCCGACCGGCTACGGCTTGTCCCATGGAAATCGGGTGCTGAGTGAAGTGAACCGGTGAAAAGTAGATCCCCAGCGCGCTCGGGACAGCAGCACTATGTGCTTGGCAAGTGCTGCAGCGATATCCACACATTATTTGTTACACATCTGCCGAGGGCTCAGCATGGAAACGCCTGCGGCGGCTTCCGTAGTCGCAACGCAAGTGGCGCGCAATACTTCAAACTTCTCTGATATTTCCCCTCCCTCTGTTCTTTTGCATTCTCAATCTGCCCCGAGGCGGCGAGTGGTAGCCCCGACCTCGGCTCTGGTTCGTCATTGATCACTGTGGGACCGTGCGTGTTTCGGCTTTGAGGTGTGGAAAAATTATGCGCAGAGAGTTGAATTAACCTTTTCTTTATTTTCTTTGAACGAAACTTTTTTGGTTCCATTCAATAACACGCGTTTCGCAACACATATTTTATAATAAACATGTACACTATACATTTAGCAACCACAATATTACACCTTGAAGTTTATTAAAGTCTTTTTTAACAAAAGGAGATCAATAAGTTGTTGACTGGGCGATTCCCCTTTCCAAACTAATTACAGAAAAATTCTAAATCACAGTGGGCAGAAACTTTGTTTTCTGCTTACAGTGATAAGAACTTCAAATATCATAAAGTGAAATCGCTTAACACAGATGTTGCTCTTTGTACTATAACAAATGACTGGTGATGATTACAAAAGAAACATGAAACTTTATATAATAGGAACTTTGCTTTGTACAGTTTTATTTACAATAATATCATATATCTGTGCAAAATAAACCTATCATATAGATACAACGGGATCGCGGAATGGATTGGACTCATTCGACGCACCCACAGAATGCACTAGATTGTTACACTCATTATTTAACAAGAAAGAATTAAACAAACGTTACTTACGTAACCCAATAAACTTTTCATTATGAAATAATTTTTGAAATATATGAAGTACTTTACAATTGACTATAAACACACAAAGACGAAAAAACAACTATTGACGAGTATTTCAAAGAAACGTCAGCAAATGTCAACAGGAGAACCGTAACAAACACATAATATGACTAATAGTAGAAAAAACATTCACAAATCTTAAAACAAATAAACTGCATATGCTGGCATTTATTGGTTTCATATCGCAGTCGGTAGGTCATGGCTCTATTCACACGAAGACACTTCGTAAGACACTCATCACTCCGCCAGTGCGCGCTGCTCGCGCTGCTTTGCGTGGCCGGTCTGGCGGACCCGTCCCCGGAGGGGCTCTGGAGGCGGACCGTGGACGCCGAGGCCGTCGTCGCCACCGCCGCGTTCCACTGCGAGAAAACGGAACGGCCACAGGGCCGCTGGCGCCGCTAGTTATCACAACCGCCCGTCCGCCAGACTCTGCGCCACTGCAACTGGCTGGCCGTGCTGGCCGTGCTGTCCCTGCCTCACGAACACACGTCCCCGCCGTACACGTCGCCTGCCCATTTGCCGCAGTCCCGCCGAGGCACGGGCACGGCGAACGTCCTGGCGTGGCAGTCCTTGTCCACGTCCACGCCCGGGTGCACGCCCGCGTGCATGCCGTACCCGTAGTCCTCCATGTTGTTGTTATTGTTGTTGTTGTACTCGCCGTACTTGTAGGCGTCGTAGTGCTGCCAGTCGAGGTGCTGCTGCTCCGGCAGGTCGTCGCCGGTCACGTGGAATCCCCAGGCCCGGAAGCGGCCGGGGTCCTCCATGAGGCTGTCCGCCTTGAGCTCCGGCTTGGGCTTGACGTCGCACAGCCACTCCCCGGAGCCGCCGGTGGCGGTGGCCACGGCGGGGGCGGGCTTGGCGGCGTCCGCCTCGAAGTAAGGCGTGTCGCCGGGCGCGGGCGAGCAGTGGCTGTTGCCGTACACGTCCATGGGCACGGCGCCGACGGCGCCGACGGCGGGCGGCGGGGGGAAGGCCAGGCGGCCGCTGGTGCTGCTGTCGTCCGAGCACGTCGTCTGCTCGTCCGAGTGGAAGCTGGTGTTGCTGTTGCCCAGCACGAGCAGCGTGGGCGGCGACTGGCCGCGCTCGTACGCGCACGACCGCACGGGCTGCTGGCCGAGGCCGCCGAGGCCCTGCTGCTGGGGCACGGGCATCGGCCGCAGTGGCGCGTCCAGCTGGAAGATCTCCTCGGGCTGGAACAGGTCGCCGTCGATGTGCGGGAAGTCGTAGCGCAGCATGTCCTCCTCGGGCACCAGGAACTCCTGCGCGGGCTGCGGCGGCGGGTACATGGCCTCGGCGTGCGAGTGCGCCAGCGGCAGGGGCTGCATGGCGGCCGCGGGGTCGTCCAGCCAGTAGGGCGCGGCGTGCTGGGCGCCGTGCGGGCCGGCGTGCGGCGCCACGCTGTAGTTGACGGACGGCGGCGGCAGCGGCTGCAGGGGCTGGAAGGGGAGCGTGGGCTTGCACAGGCACTCGAACGGCGGACACGAGCACGAAGAACCTGCAGCAAGGGACGACAACGTCACGCACAGTCCTACAAGGACCCTCCCCAGCGGAAGGCCACACGTCTGAGTCCGACGAGTTCTCACCTGCAGGGTCCGCGATGAGGGGCGGCGGCAGCGTCCGCGGCCGGGCGGACTGCGCGGCGGCGACCTGCGCGACGGCGGCCGCGGCGCTGCTGGCGGACATGCCGCTGGCGCGGAGGGCGCGCGCCCCCCGCCTCAGCACGCGGCCGCCGCGAAGGCCTCTCCTCGTCTCGACGGACGTCTTGACCTCGGGCCGGGGGTGGTCGTGGCTGCCCTTGGCCTGGAAGTAGACGGCGTGCTCCGTGTGCCTCCAGAAGTGCGTGACGGGGTAGCCGCAGTGGCCGCGGCACGGCAGCACCTCCAGGCGGCCGGCGCAGGCGCGGTTGGGGCACGCCTTGCCCTGCTGCTTCTTGCGCGCCTTGTCGCAGATGGCGGGCCGCATGTGCACCTTGCCGCCGTCCGGCAGCATGCAGCGCGCCGAGCACACCAGCACGCCCAGGCAGGACTTCTTGAGGATGTGCACGTTGTGGTTGTTGGTGTTGCGCATGGCCCAGCCGGACGCGTGGCGCTTGGCCTCCTCGCTGGCCGCGGGCAGCACCAGTCGGCAGTGGCCGTCCGCCCACTCCACCCACTCGTCGAACGCCGAGACCTGCGGCAAGGGGGAAAGGCGTGGCGTTAGGAGGACTCGAAGCTGGAGGCCGTGCTGTTCTTGCTGTCGGCCTTGCCGCCGGCCTTACCTTGGGGATGGTGGTGTCGTTGATGTCCCAGTCGGCGTGCTGGCTGTGCGTGCTGTGCGCGCTGTGCGTGCTGGGCTGCCTCGCCGTCAGGGGCTGAGGCTGGGGCGCCGCGGCTCGCGGGCTGAACCCGGACACCGGGAACCGGACGCCCTCGCCAGCTGTCGCGCAGGACCCTGGCTCCATCCTGGGGCGGGGCAAAAGGAGACGCACAAAGTCAGAATGAGGCCTTGCTGAGCCTGAGGAGAGGATTTCGTGAACATCACGGGAGACTCGAATGCGCGAGGCAGGCAATAGCGGGGAGTGCCCGCGAGTCGGTCCGTCCGACCGTCCGTCCGTCCGTCCGCCCGTCCGTGTGTCCGCCTGCACTATAATCCCGTCCTGCCGTCAAGTCGACACCGGTCGCATCAACATCAAAACCACGGGACGGTTCTGATCTCTTCATTGTGGGTGCAACCTGTGGCCTGGTGTGTGTAACCCGCCTCGCGGCCGCGGCCGGCCCACCGCGTCTATTTCCTACATTATTCTCAAGTTACACTCCCTTTGTTTTCTTTTTGCACTTCTGGTGTTACCACAGACCAGCTCGATTTGAATAAAGCGAGGTTTCTTTTCCCCTTTCCGTGAGATTCCACTTTTCCCGCCTCGACTGGATTTCGGCACGGGCTGGGTGGCGGGGCGCGGCGGGGCGCGGCGGGCCCAGCCAGGACCACACAAAGCAATGGCTTTATCGACGCGGTCCTGGATGTCCTGGAGGAGCGGGGCGAGGAGGGGCCGAGGAGGCCGAGGGACGGGTCGGGTCGGGACGCGACCGGTACCGCACCAGGACCATAAACGGAACGCCAGCCCAGCACTTCCCGAAAAGCGCGATGCACCTCGCCAATAAGGAGTTGTGGCCCGTCAGCCGCCAGCCCGTCAGCCCGTCAGCCCGCCAGGTAGGCAACCCGGGGACGCGCCTGCGCCACGGCCCGGCCTACCCGCGCGTCCGCAGGGAGCGAGAGAGAGGGGGGGGGGGGGGCGACGGTCAGGCGACCCGTTCAGTTTTGACACGGCCGACCATAGCCGCATTCCTTGGCGACACTTCGGTGTCGTCTCCTGGTGCGTCCGAATCGGCCGGCGTACACCGCCAAGCATCCACTGCGGCGGCAGGGCCGCGCCAAGGGCCGGGCCGGGCCAAAGAGTGGAGGCGCCGCTCTGCGATTTAGTAAGCATTCACGTCCACGAAAACTGCGGCCACGAGTCAATGACGAGCGGCCGGCACCGCGACGGACTGCCAGAGAAAACGTTTTCCTTTTTCGTCGTAAATCGAACGAGCTTATTCATATCGTCCTGCCTTTTATCCGAAAGAGGAACGCAACCGCAGCAGCAGTGTACACTCGGAACAAAAAAGAACGTAGCGCAGGAACAAAACGCGTCATCCCGAAGTCAGAGTAAATCCAGTTTGCGGCCCGACACGGCGGCGCGGCGGCGCGGCGGCCCATGTGACAAGGTGTGTCGTGTGGCGCGTCACCGCGACTCGGAGACTCGGACCACACCGCCTCCCTAATCTGACACGCGCGCCGAGCCTAAACACTATAAAACGCCACGGCGGCGCGCCAGCGGACAACCTGGAAGGGGAAGGGGGGGGAGGCCGCTAATTGTGCGCCTTCCCATCGTGAAGAAGGCCACCGTACTCTCCGTCGGCCTGTCGGCCTGCACGGTGGCAACGGCATTGCAATACGGTGCGATGCGCGATGCGACGCACCGCAGCGCGCTTCTTCGCGGCGCCTCCGCGGCCGTAAACAAGTGCCACCCATTGCCCGTCTCTCTCGCACTCGCACGGCGCGCGGCCTAATGAGCTTGGCAGCGGAGCCGCGGAGGGAAGTCCAGGCTGGTCCTGGCGCGGCGGCGCGCGCGCCCGTCCCTGCGTCCTATCCCCGGAAATGATTGACGTGTCCGAAGTGTTGCGCTGGACGGCCTGCTTGGCCTGCTCGGCCTGCGCGGGCATTCCTCCGCGCTGGGCGATAAACCCGAGGCGTCGTCGCGGACGTGGCGGCCGGCGGCCACGGCGCACGGCGACCGCCAAATAGAGGACCGCGTCGATGAAGTGACGTCAATACGGGGGGGCGGTAGCGGTAGGTAGCGGCAGTGGTCCGGGCGCCAGTGTTGACAAAAGGTCACTCGATGTCGCTATCGCGGAGGTGGGATTTGTAGCGAGCGGTGTACTTCGCGCGCTACTGCCCGGCTCGGCCCGGTGCCCGAAGCCCGGTTCAGCTCGGCCGGCTCGGTCCGGCTCGGCTCGGCTCGGATGCCGTACGCGATGCTATCTCCTCTTTGACAGAGTCCGAGAGGGCCGTATCTCTAGCGGACCTTAATGGCGACACGGGATGGCTCCGGCCGAAGCCCTGGCCCGCGTGCAAACGCTCATAATTTTACAAATTTAGCTTTTCGTTTCCTGAAACCTGACGCCGTGCCTGGCCGTGCCGAGCCGAGCTGCATGGAGACAGCCGCGCATGTCCAGCATGTCCAGCATGTCCAGTGGGGCCTAACGACCAGCCGCTGTTATTAGTGGCGCTTCTGCAACCCCTGCCCCCCCCCCCCTTTTCCCCCATCACCGCCCCGGCCCAATCCGCGCTCTGCAGACAAAGCTTGTCGGTACAGTGGCAAGGCGCCACTCGCCCGCACCGCCGCGCCGGTGCACCGCCACGCACCGCCACGCACCGCCCGTCGGCCGATCAGCAATTTCTCATCCCCGGGACGCGCGTCGCCGAGACTCCAAGTCTCCAGGCGTGGCGTCGTCCTTCAGGCAAGGCAAATAAATTGTCGCGGCCGAGTCCCGGAGTCGGCCGGCATATCGCCGTACCCTAGTAGCGCGTCTCTGCCTGTCAGTCGGCCGTCAGTCGCCTGTCGGTGACATTTCTGCTGCAGAGATCCTCGGCCTGCCTCGGCGCGTCGTTCGGTGCCTCTCTTGGCACGCGCAGCCTCGTCAATGTTGCGCGTGCATGTGCGTGTGTGTGAGTGTGTGCAAGTGCATGTGAATGTGTGTATGTTCTGGTCACGCCAGTCGCCAGCCAGCCCAATCAACTCGTTGCACGGTCAGCCGCAAATTTGGTTCGCTCGTTTTCGTGTTTATTCGACTCGAGCCTCGCTCGTACGTCGTGCGATAAACATGCCATTTGCAAGGGAACGCCTCAATCACAAGGAGGCTTGCCTTCAACACAGCGCGAAAAGCTTCAGCTCAAAGCGTTCTACGACGATTCAATTATCAGTACGTCTCTGTGCTCTTGCTGCAAATGTCAGTGCCAAGTTTCAACGTCATGAGACTAAGTCAAGCAAGTCAAGCGTTCAGAACGGGAAAAAGTCTTCCCGTGTGCACAGATCGCAACGTAAGTCAATGCTTTCAACGACCGCTCTGAAACTTACATGATGACCATCTCGAACGGTGGTGGAGTTGTTCCGGTGCGGCCGCCGTGATGACTTGAAGGGTAAAGATCCTTGCCGGGCCGCGTCACGCCGAGCCCGCCACTGTTACACTGTCGTCACACTGTCGTCACACTGTCGTCACACTGTCGTCACACTGTCGTCACACTGTCGTCACACGCGGCACCACACACACGCGCACTCACACACTCTCACGGCCGCCACGCGTGGCTCGCGTGCTGCTCGTCGGTCGTCCCGGAGTGGACTGGCGGGCCGCCGCTGGGCCGCCGTCGCCGCCGCCGTCGCCGTCCCGAGGGTCGCGGCTCCGGAAGCGTCCCCGCCGCCCCCCGCCGCCTCGCCCCGCGGCCCAACGCGCCGCTCCCATTGGCTGCGGCGCTCGGGGGCGGGGCGACGCCGCTCAGGCAGCCAGGCAGGCAGGCAAGCCACGCCCCCCGCCAGGTCTTCCCCTCCGGACCGCGGCTCCAGTCGCTCCAGTCCGTCGACAGCACTGGAAAAGCAGTTAGAACAGAATTTCCTACACTCGGTAAGAAAAAATGACCATTTCCTACTCTGTTTGCAAAATAATCAACGCTTTTGCCTACAATTACTGTTTAAATTTTTTTTAAAATAAATTGTTACAACCATGACTTTTAAAAAACGAAATCCAACTTTTACTGCTGGGCTTTGCACCCTTCGCCCAGCGCCCCATCCAGGCTGCACGCCACTCCAGCCGGCCCGCTGCCCCCGAAGCGCTCCGAACACAGAGCGAGCGACAGGCGACAGGGACTACTTGATTCGAGTCATTTCCCGTTTTACCCGCCTCCTGTTTCCCCGTTCGTTTTTTTTTTCCACCGTCCGTGCGGCCGGGGTTTTGGCGTTCCCGCGCCGCGCGCCGCGCGCCGCATCCTCCCAAATAATCGACGAATCAAATCCTAATCGTGTTGCCTCTTCGAGTTATTTTCTCCTCTCCCCCCCAAAAAAAGAGGGAGAGGAAAAAAAAGTATAGAGGTTTGCGCGCGTGGAGGTCCGACGTATTAATGGGAGTCTGCGCGTGCCGCGTGGCCGCGTGGCCGCGCGCACAAAGGCAGGCCAGGTAGATACGTGCGTGTTTTTGTGTGTCTTCGCAGTCTTCGCGGTGACGCAATGAATGGAATGGACTTACCTGCACCCGCTGGCACTTGACTGACGCGAAAAGCACTCACGAGGCGCGCCGCGGACTGTCCGGTCGCTCGAGTCGCGAGGCCCGGCGAAGCCCGGCCAAGCCCGTGAGAATTTGGCATCCGATTGGCGACCCCGTTCCGCCCTGCTTTACCGATCCATCATGCCGCTGCCACTGCACTGCAAGGCACTGCACTGCAAGGCACTGCACTGCAAGGCACCCCCGCGGGTCCGACCCGCCGGCCTCCCCGTCGCCTTGATCAAGTCCCCTCAGTGCCACCAGCTGCCTCCGCACCGCGCACGCACAGCCCTTGCTGCGTGATCCTCCGCAACTTTACATCTTCGCGCCGTTCTTTTTTATGTTTTTTCCTTTCGCGGATGTCAGCAGCACTGGTCCTCTTTTCTTTCCGTCTTTTGTTTCACAGTGGATAGAGATAGAGTGTGTTTGCAAACGCACCTTTCCGCGCGGTCCTGGTGGCCCTGGCCCTGGTGGGGGAGCGCGTGGACAGATGACCCGTCCCGACACCAGTCACCGCGAGGTGGCGGGGTCGTGAGGATGGATGAGTTGCCCGTCAATAGCGCAACGTCCGCGACGTGTCATTTGTTGCACCAGTTTCGGTCAATCGAATTCGGATCGGCAGCGGTGGCATCGGCGCAGCTGAACGAATCGCCGTGTGTTTTGCGCTCGCATTGTTTCCCCCCCATTCGGCTGCAGGGAAATCCTGCACTGCCTTGGATGCGTTCGCCCCTGGCTGGGAGTTTCGCGCGCCCAGCGGGGATCGAACCTCCGTCCCGGTCCCCGATCGGAGCCATCGCGTCGGGACGGGGGCGAGGCAGGGCTAGGCGGGGCGAGGAGGGCGAGGTCGAGTCCCATGCCGATAGTGTCTCCACCTTGGCCGATACTTATCGGCTCCCCGCAAGACTGCCGCCTTTGTCCGCCGGAAGTGGAGCACTGTGCCGAAAGCCGAAATCGAAGTCGGAATCGAAGTCGGAATCAATGCACGTCATCGAGTATCGCACTGGCACCCTCCATGAGAACGCGAGGCCTCGCCCGGGGAAGCCGAGGCGGGAGGCGGATCAGGGGAATGGAATGGGGGCGCCCGTCTCGGACCTCGTTACGAAGGGAGGCTCCGTTTCATTCGAGGAGTCCAGCGGTCGGGTCAGGTCGACGTCTTGATGGGTGGGGCGGCGCACAGTGGGCCAGAAGCCGGTGGAGGCGGCTAAAACTCTAGAAGCATTTTGAGCTCCAGAGTCGCTAAATGGGACTCGGACCGAACGTGTGACCCCACCAATGGATTGCTCTCGGAACGATCCATTGGTGGGGTCACACGTTCGGTTCGAGTACCATTTAGCGACTCTAGAGCTCAAAACGCGTCTAGAGTTTTGGCCGCCTCCACCGGCTTCTGGCCCACTGTGCGGCGGCCTGTCAGGGCGGAGGAGACTTGAACGCGGGTGACTCACAAGAAAGTCACACGCACACACGCACACGCACGCAAGGCTGCAGGGGCACGGATCGTTGGCGCTGCTGCTGCTTCGCGGTGGGTGGGAAGCACAAGAAGAGCACCAGCATGTCCCGCGGCTCCCACGGTGGCGGCGCGATGCAACGAGATGCAACAACTCGTTGCAATCACTGGCATTGGATCCATCAGATGATCGGCGAGCCATCGGCAGCCATCGGCGGCCATCGGCGGCATCATCCCCTAAACCTCAACTGCCGCCTCCGCCCGCATGCAAGTGCGGAGCCGAGCCGAGCCGAGCCGAGCCGAGCAGAGCCGAGCCGAGCAGAGCCGAGCCGAGCCGAGCCGAAGCCGACACCTCCCGAACGCATGCACACTTTTGGCCCACAAAAAGCTCCAATTGTAGTACTTACTTCTTTTGCATGGCGCGCGTCGCGTCGCGTCATACGGGCGGCGAACCGTTAAGTTGTCGCCTCCAGTCGCGGTCGCCCTGCGCGCCCTAGCCAAACGCCAAGTAGAGCCCTGCCGCCGCTCCACAGGCCCAACTATTCCGGACGTCTAGATGATCTCAATTTTCACCTTCGGGTTGGAAGTGAAAACCCAAGTCTGGAAACTGATATCCGCAAACGTCCGGAATATTTACACTCATGTCAAGTCGTGCGTGTTCAAGAAGAGAATAGGGCTCTGGGCTAATCCACCGGTTTAAATTTTCCTGTGCACCATCAAATAATTTTTCTCTAGTTTCTTCCTTTTTTCCAGTTTCTTTCTTTTTTTCCAGGTCGGCGGTTGTCTGGAACGAGCCACGTGCGCGATACGCTGTAGATTTGTACCGCGCAGCCGCAGGTGTGGGGACAGCAGGCGGGCGTGGCCGGGGGGAGGGGGAGGGGGGGGGGCACGCAGTATGCGGGGCATATCAAGCAGTGTCACTGGGCCCTGCAAGGGATCGCCACTAAAAGCATCAGCGACTTTTGCCTTTCGCCATCACACTATCATCGTAAGGTCCTGCATTAAATATGAACCACTGTATCCATGTGTTATACTTCACGCTAAGTTTAAACCGTGCTTAAAATTCCCGGAGCGGCCAATGAACCTCTTCAGACAACATCGCACCGTGTGTGCGTGTGTGTGCGCGTGTGTGTGTGTGCGTGTGTGTGTGTGTGTGTGTGTGTGAGTAACTCACTTTGGGACGCGCTATTGGTTGTTTAGATGCTGCAGTGCGATAAGGCCTTCGAGTCAGCTGTCCTGAACCGCCACCGCGCGCCACCGCCCGGCCGGCCGCAGTCCCGCGCCCCAACTTTACTTCAAACATTTAATTTTTGTTGCTAATCATGAAGGGAAGTGGCCGGCGAGATAGCCATCGCACCGCGACGCTTTTGTGTGTTGAGGTGCGGTGCCACGCGCAGCCTGGCGCGGCGCGGCGCGGCGGGAAAGAGTTTTCGTCTGTCATTTGCAAACGCCCCCGCGCGCCGCGGTCCCCGTCCCCCACCCCGCCTCCGCCAGCGCGTCCCCACAGCGTCGCGACGCCGCCCCGCCCCGCCCCGCCCCGCCCCGCCAGGCTCGAATATCATCCGCATGAGAGGAACAAAGATAAAAGGCGGCAGCCCTCCCCGACAATTAAACTCGCTCTCTCTCCTTGTTCCCCTTCACACTGTGGACATGAACTGTTTCGCCCCCTTCCCCTCGCCCTCCCCTCACTGTCCCTTTTTCTCCCGACGCTGTAGGCCCTTCATCGCATTATTCTAGCCGGGCATGGAGAAGAAGAAGGAGAAGGGGAAGAAGGAGGAGAGGCGGGAGTACGCGCAGCCCGAAATGCCACCAAAGTTGAGCCTCGCTCCTTTTTGGCCCTTTCCCCTTTGCGGCCGGAGGAGAGACTGCGACGCGTTTTAGTGCGTGCGTGTGTGGCGAGAGCGTCCCGGTGCTGGCCGTGCCGAGCGTTGAGACAATCAAACCAAAGGCCAGTCAATAGCTCCATAATTCACGGGGTTCACGAGTGTCCCAAGGCGGTCTGCAGGACGGTGCGGTGGGTGCGGTCGCTGCGGTCGGGGGCTGGCAGTGTGGCAGTGCTGGCAGCGCGGGCAGGCCGTCGCAGTCGGACGCAGCCGGACGCAGCTCGGCTTGGCGCTTCAGCCTCGCGGCTTGCATGGCTTTCAGGGCTTGCACGGCTTGCCCACAGGGTGGCCACGAAACGCGAACTGCGCGAAGCTCGCCTCGCCGCCTGCCAACTCGGCCTGGGCCGTCCCGGGAGGCAGCGCTGCGTCCGGGCTGCCTACCTGCCAGGCGGCATGCCAGTGCCAGTGCCGGCGCACTCAACTGGACTGACGGGGACGCCGACAACCGGACAACGCCCACCAGTAGACTCATTCCGTACAGTGCGGCCGTCGGTCTATCTCTCTCGCACCGCTTCGGAGCGCCCAATGAGTGCGAGAGAGAGAGAGAGAGAGAGAGAGAGAGAGAGAGAGAGAGAGAGAGAGAGAGAGAGAGAGCCGCCGCGCCGGCTGGATGGCTGGGCTGGATGGCTGGATGCCCGCAGGGGCAATCAATTGGACGGATCGACTCGTGAGCCGAAACCGACACCGAAACCGATCGCGTTTGTGACGTTGTGACACCGAGCCTCCCCCGCTACCTGCAC